AAGAAAACAATCGCTGTCTATGGGCCGGCGTGTGCGCGCAATGGGCGCGTAATCCAGGGATATATTGGGGCATAGACTAAAAATTGGAGGGTAGAAGTGTCAGTCGATTAACGTAGCTATTTCCAATTCTCTTTTTGTAGCAGGATCTACAGCTTGGAGATTAATAAAAACCCAATCAGTGAAGGCCGAGTTTGTCCTGGAGGAAGGTTAAACTGTACCGAAATTAGTAATTTCTTTGAGGTTTAACACCCGTATTCACAACCGATGCTTGCATAAGTGAGGCAGCAAATCGAACGCACAGCGTTGAATAGAGCTCTGTGATTGGTTCGTGTGTCACCCTGTGCGTCCACGCGCACTGTGAGACCTCATAGTAATGTTCGTGAATACGGGCGTTAGACATCAAAGTTAGGTTAATTTTGAAAATTCTGTTTCTTAAACTAGTTTATTTTTCATATTCTTTCTCGCCCAAGTATTTGTAGTATATTTATCATTCTACCGCGCTACTGGATAATTGAAGTTAAAGTTTCTACTTTTTATCTTCGCTTCATAAATAAATAAATAGCTTTACCTCAGTTTTCTCAAATATAGTTCATAGAGAGCTTCGAGAACTTCATAGAACATTGAATATCCCATTGAAAAATACTGATAGATTTGGTACCTAGTAGCCATAAAAGAGGGGTTACGTAAAGTAATACAAATCGTTTCATCCACAAAGACGCGCCCCACCAATCTTTGGTCACGGTCGCGCGGGGTGCGGGGAGTTTGATCCGAGCAATCCGAGCGGCATTATTGTAGTGTGCGTGTGCACTCATGGATGATATAGCGTGTACCGATAACACTCAAACATTAGCGGAAGAATGGTGGGGAGCGTCTTCGTGGATGAAACGATCTACATATTATACCTATGAAAAGCTTAATATTATGTATCTTCTGTAATTATTTATTCTTTGACACTCAAGCTTAGGGTTGTCTCGAGTAAGTAATTTTACACTAGGTCCCGTGCGGGGTCGGTTAACTGGGGTGTCATTACTTTTCTATTTGTCGGGTAAATCCCTTATTCCGAGGTCTAGGGGTCTGCGGCTCGATTCAAGTGCTGAGTGAAATAGACTACCTTATTAAAGCCAATCCTACTAATATTATAAATGCAAAAGTTTGGATGTCTGGATTTTTGTTACTTTTTCATGCAAAAACTACTGAACGGATTTTGAAGAAACTTGAAACTTGAAACTTAACAGTATTATTGTTTATAACCCAGAATAACATATAGGCATATAATTTATGACGATCTGTGGAAAATGAAATTTCACGCGGGTCCAAATTTTTTTAATAAGCTATTAAAACAATTTAACAATTAATACCTTAATTTTTAACTATTTTTAATCGTGGTATTTTTCACAAAAAAGTATTGAAAATCTAATTCGCGTGTGCCTATATCTTAACTTTTAAAGGTTAAGGCTTATTTTCGCGCACCATTATGTATATTAAGCTTTGCAGTTACTTGTATGTATGTATTTTTCGATGACGTAAATTAACCACGTGTGTGATAAATTTCAAATTTAAATTCAAATTTGTGCGTTAATTTCGAACAGCGAATAAAAAATATTAAATCTATACAGGGTGTCCCGTAATGCAACGTCAAGCCGGAACTGGGTGTTGAGGCAAGTTATGCTGGTTATCAGAAAAATATAAAAAAAAATCTATGTGTCATTTTGTCAAAATAATGGGCATTTAAAAAAAAAACTATTTTGGGCACATTAGAATATTAATTTTTAACCAAGGTAGATAAAGTTAAGAACGGGTTTATTTCCAAAAAACCAAAAATTGTCGACAATTACAGCAAGAATTTACCAAGTGTCATACCATTTTGGAATTCTTACTAAATGCGCCAAATTATGACGTCACTTGCCACACTGGCGTAGTACAATTTTTTTTCAGTACAGTCAGTTTAAACTAGGGAAAATTTTTATTTTGAAAATTTTATTGGGAATAATGTATTTTTTTCATCCAAGCTGGAGCAGCTGGTTTTGTAATTTTGATAACAATTTAGAGAAGCATTCTTCAGGGTAACATAACAAAAAAAAAATTTGGAAAATGTGAAGATTTGTGGCAACACGAGTAAAAAGACCGTCACCGGGAGTGGATTTTTTTGTTTTTTTTTAAATGCCTATTATTTTGACAAAATGACACATAGATTTTTTTTATATTTTTCTGATAACCAGCATAACTTGCCTCAACACCCAGTACCGGCTTGACGTTGCATTACGGGACACCCTGTATATAAATAAAAATGAATTGGTGTTCGTTAGTCCGATTAAAACTCGAGAACGGCTGGGCCGATTGACCTGATTTTGGTTTTAAAATGTTTGTCGTAGTCCAGGGTAGGTCTAAACGGTGAGCAAATACGCGCGCGATATTGTTTTTCTGTGACAGACAAAATTCCACGCGGGCGAAGCCGCGGGCGGAAAGCTAGTATGAAATAAAAATGATTTCTTTACGTAAATCGATTAAGTTACTGATTTTAGCTGCTCCTAAAATTTGAAAAAATTACCCTGTATTTTGTGCGGTATTTTTTTAAAAGTATGAGTATGACGTACGATTTTTTGGCTCCGTAGCTACGTACGTGTACTACGCTGTAGCGCGCTACAGTCTACGACCGTCACCTGCTACGGCTACGGCACGCGACTCGTAGTGCTCGTAGAACTCGTAGTACGTAGCACTAATTCGTAGCAATTTGCATACTTTCAATAGTAATTTTGAGTAACTGGGATGGTAATGTACTACTTACGTATATACCAACTTAACAAAAAGAAGATTGTCAATTCGTAATAATAGTTAAATTCTTTTTTTTTGTCGTGTCGACAACAAACCTACAGTGTCAACTCAATACTCCGCTACAAGAGCACGCAGGGCACGACATCATGTGTTTCGATACTTTCGATGGCTGGAGAACAATACCTAGTTAGATTTAAAAGTAAATTAAATTTTAAAAATAACAAACTTTCCATAATATAGTATTTTTTGTCTTCAAAAATTTTATTTTTGTGTTAATTTACAGTCTACCATTGCGATGTGATTATTATATCATATTTTTAAAGTCAATTTTATGTAATTTTGACATATTGCTGCTGTATTCATTATTAAAATATTAGATTTAGAGTAATTTGTGTATTAACCCGTAGTATTTTAAAAGATAATTAACTTGTCTATAAATCAATACGTTGCTTTATTCACAAAGTCAGGGAATCAAACCCGCTGCTTTCAGAGTCAGCCACTTTTTGTCGTTTTACAATTAATGACGTCACAACGAAGCAGTGTTAATGCACACGTGACTTCAACCATTTGCGATGTCATTGGGGTAATTAATAACTTAGTTAATTTAGCTTCGCGGCTCGCTGGGGGTCCTTAATTGATTTTAGAGTGGATGTGACGATTTAAATCGATGTTTTAGAGGTGTAAGCTAAAATGTGTCAATGTTTTTTTACGCATTCACAAACGATGCTTGCTTAAGTAAAGCAGCAAATCGAACGCACATCGTTGAATAGAGCTCTGTGATTGGTTCATGTGTCACCCTGTGCGTCCACGCGCACTGTGAGACCTCATAGTAATGTTTGTGAATACGGGCGTTAATGATTTGATTTGGAACTCAGTTTAAAGTGTTGGAAACACGTCGTAAAATAGAGGGTAGTTGACACCAGTCAATTGACATGCCTTTTATCAGCTGTCAAAATTCGTCTCTCCATACATTTTGTACAATAAAAATAATTGTGACGTCACCAGATCAAGAACTATTTAAACTCATTATTCAGCTGAATATAACTTTATATTTTACAAAAAAGATTTAAAAAATATTTTTTGTACGACATTATACTGTCAACTATGTTCATTATGATCCCAACTAATATTATAAATGCGAAAGTAACTCTGTCTGTCTGTCTGTCTGTCTGTCTGTCTGTTACGCTTTCCCGCTTAAACCTCGCAACCGATTTTGATGAAATTTGGCATAGAGATAGTTTGAGTCCCGGGAAAGAACATAGGATAGTTTTTATCCCGGTTTTTGAAACAGGGACGCGCGCGATAAAGTTTTTCTGTGACAGACAAAATTCCACGCGGGCGAAGCCGCGGGCGGAAAGCTAGTATGGTTATAAAATGAGGGGACCTTTCACTCAATCTCTGTGTCCCAACCGATTCTTGAACCTTAGACTGGGGCGGGATGATTCAATTCTTTAACCACTAATCCATAGAGTACCAAACTTAAATTACATCTCCATCACTGCTAACAACCAGAAAACAACAGCTACCCACTGCACAAATGTCAGCGCTTATCAGGGTTTCCGGGAGGGCGTCACTTCCGGTGGAAACGACATAACTGAGGGTAGATTAGCTAGATGTGGGTGTAATCTGACACTTTGCTAGTAGGGGCTAATATTTGTAAGGCGATTGCACATATACCTAGTTGCAATTTTGCTGCAAAAATAAACTGATTTATGTATGTCTACTGTTGGTTTTCTTAATAAAATAAGAAAACTAATAAAATAACTGTAGAACGACTGAACCGATGCGTTGGATTTGTCTCCGCCTCCAATTTCAGAATAGTTACTAAAATACCATTGGGTACAAAATTACAAAGAAACTAGTTTGGTTTGGAACTCCGCCATCTTCACACATGTCTATCTCTTTTAATAAATTCTTATGTTTCTGGTTTCAAATGAAGTTTTTTTTAAGTTATTATGGCATTCTTAAGTTCGCGGGACCAGCCAGTGTCAAATAAAAACTCTGAGGTTCAGGATTCTGCCTTCTACCTTCGGCCTAATTTATCATTTTCCATCAGTAGAGATTTAGGCCAAGAGCTTTCCCACTATGTAATGGTTTTAACCCTTTTTAGGGCCCAGCATATCAAAAAAATCTTCGCTTTTCGACCTTATGATAAACTAATAAGGTTCAAAGTCTAGTGGCTATTATGTTGCCAGTGCCCTGTAAAGTCTTAAGTTTAATGGACTTACAGTCATAGTAGAGGTTGCCGACGGAGGAGGTCAGCTTGGGAGTGCTCTGGCCGGACAGGGACGCCATCCTCTCACCCTGCACAGACAGACAAAACGATATTATTATACATAAATATGCTGTAAGCAAGACTGGGAATTTGGGGGTAATAGTCGTCGTTTGGTCTCTATGTTAGCCGGTAATTGTTGTACAAATGTAAAAGTATAGAAGTAGAAGATTGTAATAAAATACTGAAAACCACAGCTCTTTATAATTCAGTTAAGATGTCGAGCTTCTGCGTTATTTCAATCATAGTATTCTAAAGAAATAAAGTGGGTTTTTCTAAGACTTATATTAAGGGTAGTGATAAAACAAAGTAAAACAGGGGTATGATTTCAAATAGCAATATTTGTTTCTAAAACATGATCTAACGAGGTCTTAAATTAAATAGGTTTTTATAGCATAGGTACTAACTAATGGAAATTCTTCAGTTGTAGTATGTTATAACTTTATGAAAAGATGCACATTGTATGACTGTATGTTAGAAGAAAAATTATAACTCACTAACCAAACAGTTATGAAAACTAACTACCTACAAATAATTGGATAAATAATTGCTAGAAACAAAAGCATAACATGCAAAACCAAAAATCTAAAGTAAGAACACGTAATGAAACCTCAGTACATGCGCACAAAGGAATCACAAAATGGCGGACACAGAAAATCGATACGACACCAAGATGGCGGCTATGTTCAACTAACCAACTGTATGTGCTCAGCTATTTGCTTGCAGTATGAAAAAAAGCCGTCCAGGGTCAGTTTTGACATTACTTGCTATCGTCTATCTATTCTGTAAACAAAAAAAAACAGATAGTTAATTTTTTTATTTCATTACACAAAGAACGGCCATTTTTAAATGTCACTTTTTTCCACAGACTTTAACGTTCTTTTTTTCAAATGTTTAAAAAGATTCAATGAGAGTTAAATCATTCCATTTTAAATCTACTGCATATGCGTAAAAGACACAAAATTGCAATCACATGATACAATGTATGAAGAAGTATGAAAGTGAAAAAACATCTAAATCTATTTCTACAAAAGTTAATAATAAAATTGATACCAACCTTATAATAAACTGCTTAACAATTAAACAACAAATTGGTTAGACTAATTAATCTTTAGCACTACTTGTAGGATATATTTTTGGTAGAGAAACAGATGATTATGTGGCGATGGGGGTCGTTGATTAGATTTACTATGGAAAGGATACGTTCACGGATTTTAAGCGAACTGTATATGTTTTTCATATATGTAAGGAGATACTGAAGGCTTTTTAGAACAACTTTCAGCTAGCTGGGTCTAGCTTGGGAGGTTGGAGACTGACTGGGGTTTCAGCTACAGGGCTTCAGGTTCCGAGCTCCGCGCATGCGTTGTTTAAAGGTCGGAGGTAAAGGGGGGTTGAATTAGGTCGGGGGTGGGAGGTGGGAATGACCTATTTGCTATATCGACGTTCGGGCTTGCCTCTGGTAATGGCGAATGGAATCTTCCGGGGGCAGCACTGAGGCTTATAAAGAGATGGCCAACCCTTTACTGATATCGTAAAAGGGGCCTTATTCTTATTAGGACCTTCTTACTGAATACCTACTTCGTTTGGACGAATGGTTGAAACCAATATTACCTACTCGAATAGGTTCAATAGGTTCTTTTGCTGCTACATAAACCAAAAAATCTTCGAGATAGGTGGACTGATTTTGACAGGATTTTTACTGGCGAATAACTAATGTGTAGGTGTAATTAAGGTTACTTTTACAAGTACTACATTGTTTTGTAAAACGGCGGTTCAAATTACAGAGTAAGAAAAAACCTTATGAGAAAAAGATACTCTGAATTGATTATTTTTTGACAAGAAGGCATTTTACTTGCCTACATGGAATTTCTACTTAAAACTGTACCTACTATCTTATAACAAGAGGCTGCCAAAGGTGTCTAAGTTTGTTCAGCCACAACTCAGCACCAGCCGATATTATGAGGTCCTGAAGTGGTGGTAGGGCAAGTTATATTTGGATGACATAAGTGCCCTGAAAACTGCCTACCTTCTAATGAATAATTTTATACCTGCTGGAATGACACGGTGTAGGCAGTTCTCCCACTCAGTGGACCGACGATCTAGTAAAGGTCACGGAAGCACCTGAATGCGGGCAGCGCAGGACCCTCATTTTAGAAATCTTTGGGAAGGCCTTATTTCAGGTGAGTTGACGTCGTGTGAAATGAACGAACATTCGTAATTCCTGTAATAAATAATAATAATAATAAATACACTTTATTGCACACCAAAGATAAGAACAGAAAGAAAAGGAACACACAAGGTACAACTAGGTGGTCTTATCGCTATGAAGCGATCTCTTCCAGACAACCTATGGTGAGGACAGTTACTTAAAAAAATATGTAAATAATATATGTAAATATGAAAAAAATATAAATGTGTGACAGAAAGATGTAACGCCCCGAAGTGGAGGTAGGTCAAGGTATTTGCCACATGAATGCCCTGATAAGGGTCTACATGGATAATTTGAATTGGAGATAAATCAAAACCCGCCTCTGTGGTCTAGTGGTAAGAGCACCTGCTTCAGACGCAGAGGTCCCGGGTTCGATTCCCAGTGGGGGCAGATTTTTCTGTTCGGTTTGGTTGGTGGTAGGGCTTATTCTAAGCCCGCCTGGCTAGCTACCACCAGCTAAGTCTGTCGCCATAACAACAATGTTAACAGCATTATTGTGTTCCGGCAATTAGAGGTAAGATAGCCAGTTCCTCCGTGTTGAGGATTCCGGGTGAAGCTCGCTTCCACCTTCGGCCTGATCGTCACTTACCATCAGGTGAGATACAGGCTAAGAGCTTCCTCGTTGTGGATAAAAAAAAACTAACAACCCAGTATTGTTCAACGTTCAACGTTAATGTCATTGTTTAACGTGGCAATGATCGAAACTAATAACCGCCTTCCTCACAATCTGGACAGTTCATTGTAGGTCATCTATAAATGATTTGGACTGTGCCTAACCCATCCCTCAGCAAGGGTTGCAATGACGCACGTAGCATCCACCCACACAACCACATCGCCCACGTACAGCCCTCACCCACACACCCACGCTGAATGCTTGAACTTTGGCATTAATAAAGCTCCATCGCTTAAAAGCTTTCAGAGTGCAAGCTTTTGTGGGCGTGGAACGTCTAGATGCATTAAATACGTAGCTTGATGGTTCGTTATTGGTTTTTGAAAGTTTAAGCTCCTTATTACGAAAGCTGAAGCCTTGATTAGAACTAAAGTTCTAATAAAAAAAAACAACGTTTCTCTTTTTGTTTTGTTTTCCATCTTTAGATGGAAACGTAAGCACATGCCGTATCTTTCCGTTTTGTTATAGGTACAGTTACGCCCGTATTCACAGACATTACTATGAGGTCTCACAGTGACACACGAACCAATCACAGAGCTCTATTCAACGCTGTGCGTTCGATTTGCTGCTTCACTTAAGCAAGTATCGTTTGTGAGTACGAGCGTCAGTGACCAACTTCTGTCTAAAACAAAGTCAAAGACTTAAAAAATGATTAATTTATTTGAGAATATGACTACTCGTATGTTTGGTATAAATATTGGAATTCAACAAAAAGATTCAAGCTATTCTTGAAATTGAACCTAGTTTTGTGCTTCATTCTATTCAGTTAGTGATTGTGTTTTCAGCAGGGCGAAGTTTAATTTGATAGAGGTCTCTTTTACGTAATTTTTACTTTAAGATTTTCAAGGCTTATTAATCTGATGCAAATATTGTTATTACAAGCATTTAGTCATGATAATTTTCGTTTAATTTGAGGAACACTAAGGCGGAGTTGCTCCACCCAACTTTAACTTTAATTACAGTAACTGTAACGCTAACCGGTGTTTTTTGTATGAAGTTTGACAGACTTTTGACGTTTGTCAAAGTTAAAGTAAGATAGATGGTGCAACGCAGCCTAAGTGGCTGCATGAGACCTCGGAAACCATTGATTTCTAATGTGTCTCAATTCGCTGGTATTTGAAGGGATAATTTCCGATAAAAATCTATTCTTTTCTATCGCTAAAAGCCCAACCCGTGTAACATTCCAAAATTGCTCTCACGGCAAATCCCAACGTCACATATTTGTCACACGTCGACAAAACTGTCACATATTCGTTACAAACGAATCCATCAAAAAAGTTCGCGGCCCAAATCTGGGACTTACAAATCGCGACATTTCCACTGAGAGCGCTTTTCACCCCCCTTTCTACCCTCCTTGGGGTGAAATTCACCCCCGTGAAAGGCGTGGTTATTTTTCACCACGCCTACTGGGTGGTATTAATTAAATTAAATCGATGTTGCATCTGGAACACGAGTTGGTGGTTTGTATTCGTGTAAGCATATTTTAAGTGTACAATGCTGCAAATTGATGATGAAATTAGTAAGGTTTCTAAATTCAAATTCAATAATTTATTTGCTAGAATACCTACATAATTACATGCTCGTTTTACAAAGCAGATCTTATAGCTAATATGATTCCCATGTATTCAGCCTGCAAGCAGACGTACAAAAATTTTATCAGTCAGATTATTATTTAACATTACAATGTCACAAATCAAATTAATGTATTAATATTTCAGTTTAATAAATTCACAATGTCAAAAGTTAAATGTAGATGTCACAATAAAATTCATACACTATCTATTTAAGTTAAAATATTCGTCAATGCTATAAAAACCATGGCTCAGTTTTTTATCAATTTCTTCTTAAATACATTCCCTTCAAGTACTTTTAGTTCTTCAGGTAAATTGTTATATATTTCTATACACATATTATAAACATTTTTCTTATATATTACTTTGTGGCATTGGGGTTTAAATAATAGGAAAAGTACTTCAATAAATCTTTGGTACAAAACGAAGGTGAGGTCTATCATTCGTGCATGAAGACTATTCAGAACATTCGTTTGAAAAATAAATAAACAAGTAACTAAATAAAATTAATGTGTGGAAAAATCATTAAATAAATAAATGTTACTGTCATAAGTTGAATCCTTTATTTGCATTGTTATTGTTCTCCCATAAAAGTATTAACAGTTGTAATAACATTATGCTATTTGAAAGACTACTTGCGTATTTTCGAGACTATTGCAATATCTAATAAAACCTATGGAGGAGACAAATAGGCCTTGAATTCAAATTCAATAAGAATATTTTGGATTAGCCATGTGCTTATTTTTTTTTCGTAATTTTAATGGTAGGTCTGAGGCCAAGCTACTCATATAAACCTAAGGTAACCTGCCGTTTGACTTATCCATTTTGGGACATCCTGTATCTCTCTGGCCACTACTGGTCTGATCCACAAAATATTTCACTAATAACATCACCGGCAAGTAGGTAAGCGGTACTACTTTTATATGTCATGTATAATTTGTTCTCTATTGTTGTTATGGGGTTTTATTAATTAGATAATCTTCGCTTGCTTGTTTATTGCAATCTTACACATGCAAAATATAATTAGTACAACGGAGCACACCAAAACAAAACTTTTCAGTCGGCAATTTTTCCACAGAGTGACCATAGACATAGAGCTAGCTTTTTTTAAACTCTAAACCATAAAATAAATGTTTAGTGTTGTCATTACTCAACATTCTCTATATTCAAATTTTCTTTGGGGCACAAAAACGCCTACGGGACAATTTTCCAGTCAAATATTTTGAATGTACAACATAATATATTTATAAAGCTGAAAATAAGGTATTTCAAACAGCGAGATAGCAAGCACGGCGCCGTCAGATAAAAGCTAAAAGGTTACTCGGAAACCCGCAGATAAGACTTATCTAAAGCTTTCAGATTTCCACAGAGTATTTCACGCACAGATTGTGTACTGAATTCCATTTAAATTGTTATTTTCCTGTGCTAATAATCGAAGAAAGTAATTTAAAAAGGGGCGACGAACAGGTTAAAAAAAGGTATTTTTTTTATCTTTAAGACCGAAAAAAAGTATTTTTTGCAAGGGCCGTGGACTTGTCCAATTTTACTTTCTATGAGCTTTCAAAATGTGACTCTACATACCGACTACATTATGGAAATGGGGTCTATGACATTTATTCGCATAATCGAGTGATAATTTATTGACTTTCAAAGTAACTAAGAGTAGTCGCACACCGTTGATTTTTCGTCGGCCGATAGTTTAGTCGGGCAGTTGATCAGTATGGGCATGTATGGGAGTGCGCACACTACGCCGATTCGATTTGGCCGATTTTTCATACAATTTGAAATCGGGCACAACTATCGGCCAACTAAAAATCAACGGTGTGCGCCTACGTTAAAATGAATTAACATTTTAGTTAAAAATTATTCTTATTTTTTAATATTCGTAGGTATGCAGGCCTCATTTAGGACACTTATAACTTGCTTCGGGATACCAACACTTATCTACTAGGTACTCTCGATAATATATCATTTGTTGTTGAGATACATTTTCAGGGCGAGACGGAAGTGTTTTAAAGAAGTTGGTCTTGTCTGTTTTTTAAAGTATTGGTTACCAAAGTGACTTGGTATTGGTTGGTGTGAACTACCCAATTTGTTTTGCAAAAAGCCAAATTTAAAAAGGTGTAGTTTCGTTATTTAGGTTCTGCAGCTCCATTGGTCTGTATTAAGTGATTGTGGACAGTAGCAGACCACTATCGGGCTAGATAGGTTTTGGCGGTCATCCGATATGGCGTCTCGTATGGTGAGTTAAATATTTAGTTTAATATTTAATTTATGTAAGTTAAATAACTAAATAGTTCTAAAATTCAGGAAAGACGCTCTGTTTTTATGTTTATTTTATAAAAAAACATAAAACTCATTTATTTTTGCAAATAGGCTTTTAAAAAGCACTTTTACACACTGCTTCTGGACAATAAATGGGCCAGTGCCTAAAATACTAAAAGAAGCAGCGCAAGAAACTCAGTCACTATTGTCAGCCTGTCTTTAATTGACATGAAAGATTAACTAAGTCTAGTTATTATTTTTATTTGTTTATTTGGATAACCAGAAAAACCGGATTTGGAGTTGTAGCATACTGAGTAGTAATACCTACTGATGTAGTATACGAGTTTCTCTTCTAATTGATTGTAACTATTTTCTAATCATGTACCGTAAAAAATATAATAATGACAATGTTAATCTTTCAGCTAAACAAAGCACAATTATCTAACTTACTTTTTAAACTTGAAATTAATTACTGATTTTAAATAAACTTCGGCTAATAAAAGTAATTTATTACGAGTTGGTGGAAGAAAATTAATTAAGATCGTAAACTTTATGAAATCCGTTTTGCTTTCGGCCGCGTATCTAAACCACCATCTGCGCTATCGGATCATGAAGTTGTAACGTGTTTTTGGGTCATCTATAACAGTAATAATCCTACTAATATTATTAATACGAAAGTTTGTATGCATGTGTGTTTGTTATTCTTTCACGCAAAAACTACTGAACGGATTTTGATAAAACTTTAAATCATTATTGTTTATGTTACATTGTATCGAAATAACTTAAAGGCTATAATTTATAATGATCTGTGACAAATTTAATTTCAGCCGTGGGCAAAAGCTAGGTTAAGTATATATTTTGTCTATTTTTTACATGTGAAAGCTCTAAAAACGCAAGAAAATGACTTTAATAAATATATTTTCAACTTGTAATTCGTATAAAGAACTAAATACTTATAAAAAAATAAAGAAGTCCCCACCGATTCCACGTATGCATTAAATTAACACGAATTCATTTATTATATTATAATCTTTTGTTAAACAAAGTAAATAAAATCAAATCAAATATCCTTACGCTTCTATTCCCAAACTAAGCAAAGCTTGTACTATGCGTACAGACAATCACTTGATAAAACTTTCTGATACTTAGACCAAAATCCTCCTAAACGGAACTCCGTATCTAATTAGTTAAATAAATCCATTATCTAAAAGCTTGAAATCTCAACGTAATTTACAATATTAGCAGTATTACTGGTATTTGCTCATATTTTCAACTAAATCTACAAATTACATTCCATCTCCACCCCCACCCACCCCCCTTAGAAAAGGACGTGCAGAGCGAGACAGCAACAGCTCGGTATTGATCTGACCGGAGGCTTTGTACATAGATACCTACTTTTGTATATAACTACGTTTGGAATTGTACATAGAAACTCAATTATGTGTTTCAAAGCGATATAGGTACGCTGAAATATGGCCTGGAGCAATTTCTGCTATTACAAGAATGGTTTTGATAAATGATCATGATTTATTTGAAAAAGGGTACATTTTGATCGTTATGCAGCCTTTTCAGTCATCTTAGAATTCAATGGAAATGGGAATGAATGATGAATGAATATTATGAATTTCAACATTCATAACTTTTCCAATGATGTAGGAAAGCTGGGTCATTTTCGTTGTGATACTTAATTTACATTTTTATTTGATTTGAAATCAATATATTTGGGTCAGTTGATTGTGATAGACAGAACCTACAAATGACGTTAAACGTAAGTATTTTCATACCAGCTCTATCTAGAAGGAAACAGTGAAAATATTTTGACAGCTCATAAAAAGCGATCCATAATAAATGTACAGTTTTTATCGCCATAAAATCAATTAGGTATGAGGACGTAGTATAGTTAAAAGTTGTTTTTCATTATTATTTAAGGTATTAAGTCAATAATATTATGTTAATCTCTCTTTATATTTTAAGTTGTGATTTTAAGCTTGAGAGAATGCTCAATCTCTACTTAAATATTGATATGAATTTAAACCTATTTTCGTTTCTGAAAATGAGCACGCTCGAATTAAAAATCTCAATTCAAAATTGGGGGACTGATACTTAATTTAATTCGTTATAAAGACACGCATACTCAGTAAATAACAAAATACCTATTCCACCATCTTTATAGCCTACAAGCCAAGGTGATAATACTTCTTCTTAGATAGCAAAACTTTTATATCTCCCGAGGGGGAAATGACAGACGACGTTTCGAACTTTGCCAATTTTTATCGAAAAGTTTTCATCTGGCTGGATTTGAGGATAGACGATGGCAAAATAGATAATGATGCTGAAGAGAAATGAAAAAGTTTTTCTCTTCTAAAATAACAAGTTTTAAAGTAGATTCTGTTGTCGTTCAGTCTAGCGTAATTTTCGTTTGTCACAGAAAGTCTTATTGTGCTTGAAACTAACAAAATGGTTGATTTCTTACCTAATTTAGGTTAACAAAGTATATGAAATGAATCAGCTGTTTCTCTTGGTCGTGCCATAACTTGAAAATTACCTACTAAATTGCCAGAGTTATGAATTCGTATTTATTAATATTAGTACACGCGTAGGTACTAATAAAGAGCAATACAATGCGTCGACCACACAGCTCAAGCTCACAATTAATGAGCCATTGAAGTACGTTTAGTTTTAAATCATCATTTCAGCCATAGAACATTCCCACAACGACTATTTCTAAACAAAAATCGAAGTTTATAGCAACTGAAAACTATACATTTGGTTTTCAGGGCATAAAGTCTTTAGTCCTGAAATGATTGGTATCATCTACTTATCCATTTGCGAGTCAAAATAAAAAGAAAAAATATTTTATTTTATTTTATTTTATTTGTTTAACAATGTTTAATATGTCAAAAATAATAATATTATATGTCAATTTGTCAAAAGTTGCTACAAAAATGTAACAGAATCGAACGACCTGCTGAAACAATACGCGTTAGTTAATTACAATTTCGTTATGGTTATTACTAATCTCTGAGTAACGAGAGTTACAGCATTTTTTTATTAGAAGGCAAGGACGATGGAAAAGAAGGTAAAACTATGGTATTTTGTATAGTTGAGTCTAATTTCTATGAAATGGTGAGAGCGCATTTTAGTCAGTTACTGGTTGGTGCTCCATATAAGGTAGAGTTAGGGCCAGTTGCTACGAAGACATCCCGTTTTTTTCAGGAACTGTTTTGTAGGATCCTGTTTTATACATACGTTCAGACGAACATCCCCTTTGCAGTGTCCCGCAAAAAAAATTCGTTTGAATTTGCATTCGGATTTCAAACACAAGTGTGTTCACATGACAGTCCAGTTTGCGGGAACGAACTCTTTACTTGTAAGAAAGGAGAAAACTTCTAACTTGCCTCTTTGAAAACAACATATCCACTAAATCTACATAAATTCATATCTTTACCCTTTTCCTGAAGGCTGTACTTCGCGAATATCACCAAGTTGGAAGTGTGATATGGGGCATACAGCTCGAGGGGCTGCCAAACTTGTCCCGAGCCAAAGTTTCCACATATGCCTCGAATTATGTACAAATATGTTCTGTTCCCCAGATAATCTAGATACTAATATTATAAAGCTGAAGAATTTGTTTGTTTGTTTCCTTGAACACGTTTTAATATTAGGAACTACTGGTCCGACTTAAAAAAATGTTTTTATTTGATAGCCCATTTGGACAAAGCAGGACTGGTAGTTACGGAAATCCTTGGGGTTATATCTTTGTTCAGTAATGGACGTCATCTGGCTGAAACGAACGAACGAAGCCCATTTATCGAGGAAGGCTTTAGGTGGCTTTAGGCTATATAACATCACTCTACAGCCAATAGGGGCGGAGCAGTAAAGAAAATGTTACAAAAACGGGAATCATTATTCGAACTATTTTCACGCGTATGAAGTCGCGGGCACAGTTATAAAGGATATAGAGCACGGTGGTGGGTAGATTCTGATATGCAATTACAATATTGTACGCCACAGTTATCCCTCTACCATGACAGTCCAGTTAAAAAAACTCAATAAAACTCAATAAAACTCATTTATTTCTGTAAATAGGCTTAAAAAAAGCACTTTTACACGTCCCAGTATTAACCCTACCACTGCTTCAGGACAATAAATGGGCCAGTGCTGAGAAGAAGCAGCGCAAGAAACTCAGTCACTATTGTCAGCCTCTTTTTCAAAGGTTTACATGCTTTAAAATGTACAAAGTTATAAATATTTATGCGAGCTAGGCAGTAACGTATCCCAAACATTTTTATCTTTTAAATAATCATCGACTTTATAGTAGCCCTTTTTCATTAAGGTACTTTTAATATGTGCTTTGAATTTATGAATGGGTAGTTCTACAACAGTTTGTGGTAATTTATTAAAGAATTTAATACATTTTCCCATAAATGAATTACCAATCTTATGCAATCTGAAATTTGGAACGGCAAGTTTATTTTTGTTTCTTGTATTAAAGTTATGCAAATCGCTCTTTTTCGTGAATTGCTCTATATTTTTGCGGACATATAAGTTTTTCGGAATCCAGTAATGCAGGATCCCATAAAAGTAGACTAGTCGTGTGGGTGGACACACAAGTGTGTGTTTGATATTCGAATTACAAAGAATAGATCGGATTTTTGCGGAACACTGCGGATAATCCAAACGGAATGTTCATTAAAACAAGTAAGTAACTTACCATCAGGTGAGATACAGGCCAAGAGCTTCCTCGTTGTGGATAAAAAAAAAAAAAAAGTAAGTATACTACAAAACGCGATCCTGCAAAAAAATAGTTTCTGCAAAAAAAAAACGGGATGTCTTCGTGGGAAAGAGCTATAATTAAGGAATTATCTTTCAGCATTTTGTACTACCTTGGCAGTCAGCCGAGCTTTAAAAATTCATCCTGTGTACTGTGAATTCATGCCTTTTAACAAAGAGAAGATTATTTCTGATTTACCCGAGCTACCTGCAAAGTAGGCCGGCAGTAAATTAAAAATAAATCTTGGCTTCCTCAAATAAGCCTAATTGCTCCCCAGAAAGCAAACTCCTTTATCTTTTGACGTTAAGACAGCCGCCATTTTAGAACAAATATTTTTAATCTACGTTTTCCACAGATGGCAGCGTTCAAACTTTTAACGGTGGGCGTGGTCATAGGGATGGCACTCGCCGACCAATCGAGTCGGAGCCTCGAGCAAATCGAGGACGGGGATGGAAAGAGAGAGATAGCTACCCCCGAGGTGGTGTTACAACTGAAGTATGATAGAGGGGAACTGAATAGGATATATCTGGCTCAGTTCCGAAAAGGGAACGGGGTCTGGACGCCGTCAGTGAGCGCCCGGAACAACCTTTGTGCGGACCTGTGTCACGCAGGTCGGTCTTTTTTGTTTCGTTTTTTTTTTTGGTTTTGTAGTGCTGTGCTGTGTTTTTAAGTCGGTTTTTGTGGTTCATTTTGGTGGAAACAGAAAATTAAATGGTGAACATACAGGAGGAGTGTCTCAGGTAAGCATTTGTTTTTTTGGTCATAAAATCATTTTGTAATATGAAAATTGTTCTTCCACATACACATTTTTTTTTATTCTGTGTTTCTAGATTAATTATTTTCTCTGTATTTTATTTGTTAAATATTTATTTTCTGAGTAAAGCAAATAGTTAAAAGCCTGTTTTAATACAAGATACTGTTCAACATTTCGATATTGCGGAATGTTTCCACTTTTTATTAATTCTTATTAATTCCATTCGTTGCTATTAATCGTATAACAACACTGGCTTAAATTAATGTCTAATATTGTTTATTTATAAATAACGAAAAAAAAAGAGATCAAGGTTTTAAATTGATCAAACAATTTTTTTATATTTGATAATACAGCAAAATTTCACAAATCTTATTTTGGCTTAACTTAATTTCTTATTAGCTAGACCAAAAATATGATTTTATCAATATTATCAATTACTAAAACACTAAAACAATCAATTTGAATAGAGTTAAGTGCTGCTATTTATTGTCAAAAATACTATGTCTGTCTATGTTTAAATTGAGATTTGTTCCGAAAATGTACCTGATAAGTAATTTGAATATTAGGAACCCACCAAAAACACTTCCATGTAAAATATTTCCAACACGAGACCACAATAATATTAGAATTAGAAGCTTGGCTCTTGGCTCTACATTTGAAAATGCTAGTAATAATATGACTAGCATTTAAAATGCAGAGCCAAGAGCCAAGCTTCTAATTCTACACGTCATAACTTAACAAACTCTACATTTTAGTCAAAATATGGTTTTATGGGATAAGTTTTTTTAAATAAATAAACATCCTTGGACATTTTACACTGCGCCGCTCGTCCCAAACTAAGCAAAGCTTGTACTATGGGTACTAGACAACGGATATAAACATAAGTACTTAAATAATTGTTGCATGCACCATAAAAAAATACTTTACTTTATTTTAAATTTTTTTACTTTATTTTACATTACTGGGAATATGCCCAGTCCTTGGCCGGCTTAATAAAACTCATATTATTTTTGGAAGTAGGCTTTTAAAAGGCTCTTTTACATGTCCCAGTATTAACCCTACCGCTGCTTCGGGACAATAAATGGCCCAGTGCAGCAGTGCTGAGAAGAAGTAGCGCAAGAAACTCACGTCACTATTGTCAGCCTCTTTTTCAAGGGTTTACAGTTTTTAAAATACATATCATAGGTACGGTTATAAATATTGATACAAGCTAGGCGATTAAACATCTTGACAATTTTTAACTGACAGTAAGGTTGGCCACTTACCTGCCGAAACTACTTTTAAATGACCTTAATGTACCTATTGTGTTTAGATGGACATGTTATAACAAATGAAGATGATAAAATCATCTTACAATGTGTACAGTTGGGGTGAGATTTGTCCCTGTAAGTAATTCATTTAAAGAAACCAACAGTGACACATTAGTATTTTTAGTTACAAGAATTAGACTCATAGTTACAGGTTTCCCTCATTATAAAAGTACATTGTTGTTCGAAAATATATGAGTAAAAGAAGTTTAAAAATTAAAAAGTAACATATAAGCAATTCATTGCGAATAACAAGCCCGAACAAAGCACTTCAAAGAAAGCAATGTAATAGGACATCTAGCTTACCTTACTTCATCCCACAGGGCTAGGAGGCTCCGCCTGCGGCCCGACCTGCCAAGACCTGATGCCGGTAGGCCTGCAGTCGGCCCTGAGCGGCGCCAACGAGACGGAGGCCACGTACGGGGAGCCCCGGGTCGAGGTGTGCCCTGCCCTGTGCGACAACATGCTAGGTTAGTACGAGTACACCATGTAGCTATCACGTGAGACAATGTCAGCAGGCGGCCTGACATGCTAAGGTCTGACGCTTGTTCCCAACGAGTCATACCCAAGTGAGTAACCTTGTTACTTGTTGGGAAAAAATATCTTAAAATTCCCATCCAATCAGCAGCCAGCTATACCGAGGCCACGGAGAGCCGAGGGTCGACGTGTGCCCAAAACTTGTAGGTATCATGTATAACGGGACTATTCCCACCTCTCGTTCCCACCGCTGCAACTCCTGTGTAGCCAGGATCTACAGCTTGACAGTAAAAACCCAACCAGTGAAGGTCAAGTTTGTCTCGGGGGAAAGTTAAACTGTCATTGGACCCGCAACGAAATTAATCAGAAGAACATAGCTCGAAGATAAGGTCCGACTTCTTACAAAGCTGACGACAGGAGACAAGCAAAGGTTGAGTAACCTTTAAGAAAAGTGGTCGGTATCATGTATGTGAGATAGCAGGTGGCCTGATGCTAAGGCCTGATGCCGGTAGGCCTGCAGTCGGCCCTGAGCGGCGCCAACGAGACGGAGGCCACGTAAGGGGAGCCCCGAGTCGAGGTGTGCCCTGCCCTGTGTGACAACATGCTAGGTTAGTACACCATGTAGCTATCATGTGAGATTGTCAGCAGGCGGCCCGACATGCTAAGGTCTGACGCTTGTTCCCAACGAGTCGTAGCCAAATGAGTATCCCTGTTACTTGTTGGGAGAAAATATCTAAAAATTCCCATCCAATCAGCAGCCAGCTATACCGAGGCCACGGAGAGCCGAGGGTCGACGTGTGCCCAAAACTTGTAGGTATCATGTATAACGGAACTATTCCCACCTCTCGTTCTCACCGCTGCAACTCCTGTGTAGCCAGGATCTACAGCTTGACCGCCAATAACCCGACTAGTGAAGGTCAAGTTTGTCCCGGGGGAAAGTTAACTGTCATTGGACCCGCAACAAAATTAATCAGAAGAGCATAGGAGCTCGAAGATGAGGTTCGACTTCCTTCCATTACAAAGCGGATGACAGGTGACAAAGGTTTAGTAACCTTTAAGAAAAGAGGTAGGTATCATGTATGTAAGATATTGTCAGCAGCAGCAGCTGGCCCGATGCTAAGACCTGATGCTGGTAGGCCTCCAGTCGGCTCTGAGCGGCTCTGCCCTGTGCGACAACATGCTAGGTTAGTAGACTACACACTAACGGAACCCTCATTCATTCAGGTACATTACACTGGACTAGTACCGAGGGCTCCATAATAAACGGGGGCCCTGCCAACTCTTAAAAAAACTCTATTATTTACTTCTGAATGCTAAATAGTTGTCCTGCCATTTTCATTTATAGTGATTGTAAAGAAATACAAGGAGGAAAATGATTCACAAATATTTTTTTCTATCTCGTATCTCGTTTCCTCTATTTAATAGCTGCATAATTCTATAATTTTGCATATCTACTGTTAAATCCTTTTTTGAATCCCAGTGATCCATAAATGTTTTGGACCCCCGGTAGGTTAAAAAGGTATTTTGTGAGATATATTTGCATTAATCTCGATCGTTTTTGTGACTGCAGTTACGAAGATAATTTTCAGCAAAGGTCCTCACAGGAAAATGTCACAAAAAACAGGTTCCACCGTTTCTGCACTGCTACAATTCACCAGTGTTTTTGCTCCTATCTCGTGTCATTTCTACTTCATCCTATTTTTTCCCAGGCTACCCACTGTGCAGCTGCCAGGCGAAGGCCCAGGAACAGGACGTGGACTGGGGCGCCATCTGCCACTCCTTCTGCGTTTCCGACAACTACGTGCTTAGTGGTAAGCTTTAGCAGTTCTTTCACTGTAGATAACTACGAACATATTTTATACGGGACTATTCCCACCTCTCGTTCCCACCGCTGGAACTCCTGTGTAGCCAGGATCTACAGCTTGACCGGCAATAAAAACCCAACCAGACCAGTGAAGGTCAAGTTTGTCCCGGAGGAAAGTTAAACTGTCATTGGACCCGCAACGAAATAAATCAGAAGAACTTAGAAGGAGTTCGAAGTTAAAGTTTAGTTCAACAAAAGTTTTGTAACTTTTATGAAAAGATATGCACCACAGACAATAATATCAATTGGACATGTGACTATTCAGAGGTGTGATTATTTATAAGTGATCAAAGGAAACCGAAATAAATTGAACTAGAGTCCACTTTGATCACCCAGGTCATCTTATCCATGGGTGATCAAAGGACACCAAATTGTCGCTTGGAATAGACCGTTCTTTCACTCCCCCCTTATTCCAGGCTGCCCCCCCTGCGAGAAGAACACAGCACTACCCCACCTGATGTCAGCTCGAGTCCTGAACACGGCTGAAGGATGGTCAGCTTGGTGCAACGCTCAGTGCAGGCAGGGCCACGGAGGCGCCGCCTGCAATTGCGACCGTGCTCCTATATAATAGGGTTTTGATTTGCTTGTCGACGATGAACGTATTTAATTTTTTAAATGCATTTTGATTTTTTTACTGTAGTTTAAGCTGCCTGCCTTATAAAGCCCCGATGTTTTGGGTGAAGGTTAAGGTACTATTGATTTTTAGATCTTAAGAAGTAATATTTATTGCTTCCTCAAAATTTTAACTAATAATCAAATTGAAAAAATTAATACACTTCCTGAATAATTAAATAATCTCTGACTTCAATTTTATTCAACTGAAAAGCTTTTTTTAACTAAATAACTTGTACTTTTCAATCGCTCTGGAAGTATTTAGTATTTTGGTTTTAATATAATATTTATTCATAATTTAATCAAGTGTATCTACCTATGCATAGATGAGTGTGAACTAATAATAAAAGTATACCACTAATATTAATATTATTTTATAAGTTATTATGTAATAATCAAACATTATAGACGTAAGAAATGTACATGGCTTGCATGTAGATAATCTTCAGTACATTTTAATGTTGTACTTATTTAGCAATTAAATATAATAAATATAAGGTAATGTATAAGAAAAATAAAAGCTCTGTGCGAACGACAATATATAAACATGTAATTGTAAAATATCTAAATTATAACCATCGGTATAAGTAAATGTAAACGTATATTATGTTTCACAAATGTATCTTAGATGTTATTCATTTATAGTTTAGTTATATTTCATTTATTAAACTTATACTTTCATTTATTTGATTTTATTTTATTTTCCTTTCAATTTTCGCCTACCAACCAGTCAATTATTACTATTAGTTTCGACTCCCTAAATTTTTCAATTTTAACATGATCAAGTGGTTAAAAACATAGTAAAAGTGTATTATGTCGTTGTGTGTAGTTTCGGTGTTTCTGTGTACTAAACCAGCATTTATATAGCTTTATAGATGTAAAGTATAATCATAAATGTAAGATTTGTATCCAAATATAATAGTGATAAGTTATTTTTTACATTCCGTTTATTATTTTTTTTCCTTTTTTTTTGTTTTTTTTTATTTAACCTCATTTTATTTATTTGGTTTTAGGAACATTAAAAATATTTTTAGGTTTTGGTTGCATATGTCTTCAATTTAATGGGGTAAGTTTGGTTCTAAAAAATGGTCTTCCTGTAACTATACTGTACTGTATCGTGTAAGTGAGAGAATTATATTTTTTTAATATATTTTGAGAAGAATGAGTGTGTGTGAGACTTATGTATGAATGTTTTAAAGTGGTTATAAAGTACCTATGCTTTGAATATTATAGGTATTCGCGTATCAATGTTACTGATAAATGACACCAGAATTGTGGTAGAACAAGAACAAGTGCGAGGAAAAATACTACAACTACTTAACGATGTTCTGTGTCTTCTGAGACTTCGCTAGAGGTCTGTAAGGCTAGCACGAAAAACTTTCGAGTTCGAATCTTTTGCGTATTCCAATCGCCATCAAAAGGTTTAGCACGAAAACTACAACAGCGCCCTTGTGAACGTGTCGTAAAGAGAACTTATTATGAGAAATGGTTGCAGGAAATATATTTTGAAAATCATAATTGTCACGTTATCGTTTAATTCGAAGGCTGAGTATCGAATTTTTTCGAATACGGAAACTATTCGAAGACGAAAGTTGTTCATGCTAGAGGTAGTGTGTCTTCTGACACTTCGCTAGAGGTCAGTCATCCTAAGGTAGAGTCTGGTAGACCTAGCAATGACAATAAAACAAGGACAACAAAAATCAATGGCAATAAAGTGTATAAGATCGAGGTAAAGCAGCATGATCTTGAGAGTTGGTATGAAATTATTTTCGACCAACGAACAAACTTGACCGATTCAAGCAAACCTATATTTTCATTTGAAAGTGGAAATACCTCCTTCAAAATTGTTCCTCTGTATCACCCGCAATAGGATTTTAAAATAAGTTTCATAATTTTTTTTCCCAATTTTATACCACCAAGGGCCCTCGCCCACGGTGACTTTTCGACAGCATCACTATAGCGCTATTAACGCGCGTTAGTCGCATTTGTAACGCACTACAGAAGTGATGCCAACGCGCTACGAACGCGCAACAGCAGCGCGACTGCATCGCTACAAAAAGTCGCCGTGTGCGAGGGCCCTAAATGATAATGTGACTGCATCTGTTTCGTTTTATATGATTTCCAATATATTCTTGTATGAATGTGTGAGTGATCGAGTTGAATGTAGAACTTTAGAGTTAGGTCAACCAAGAATTATCGCAACAAACAATATCACGAAAGTCTTCCATTAGATAAGGTTTCGTATGTATAAATAATATAAATTTAGGTAAGTTTAATAAGTATAAATATGTTAGTTCAACTAAATAACGTTATAAAATCGTGTAAAAATTCATTCTTTAAATTCTAAATACCTATTTAATTGTTGAAAATCTTTTGACTATCTTTATCAAATTCTTGTATTTTGAAGCGAAAAATAGTTAGTGTTGCTTTTCAAAATCCTTTGATTATAAATAAAATTCTTTTCACCTTAGGCTTCTTTAAAAAAAATTAAAACTTACTTAAATTTATAGTAGGTACTTATATCGTAGGTAAGTTTGTAAATAAATAGATTGTTAATACTTATCTTTCAACAATTGATGCGCGCTTTACCTAAGATGTGAAATGTAACGCACAATGTCATTTTATTCAAGTACTACGTTAGTATTTAATACGTTTTGTTAATAAGCTTCAATTTTAACAGCATTTTGACGTCAACAGCAGTCCATTGTGGCAGTCTTACTAACCCACTCTTACTAAACATTCTTGAACGACACCGAACAGAAGCTAAGTTTCATACAATTTATTACATAACAAATGGGGGTGAATTTCACATAATTATCGATGCAATAATAATGGTAAATATTTTTACTACAAAAAGAAATCTCATTTCCAACTTAGGTACTAGGTAAGAATTTCGCAGTCCTTAGAATTTAACGTCATATTTAAAATCAAATCAAGATAATTCAGTATCTAAGGCCTTTCCAAGGCACTTAACTCGGCCACACTTGAAAGGTTCTATAATATATTTAATTTTATTCGAAAACTTATTTCGATATTTCTTTGGATTAATCAATTTCAAGTCATATTTTTTGAGATTACCTACTTATTATATCTTTCTATGGATCTATTTTATAAATGTAGTATTAGATTACTTATTGTAGGATTAAATTAAAAAATGTTGGTGTTGTCTGTTGATTATGGATTATGGAATGTTATGTGGTAAGTATAGTTGGATAAAGTATATTGATAAATCTACATTGCGTTTATCAACACCATATCAAATTAGGATATTCAAATATCTAGTAGGTACCTAGGTACCTAAGTTATATTTTTTAAGTAACATTTAATATTATCGTCAGAATAAGATAAAAAATACGATAATAGTAATTAAAATTCCAAATTATTTACGATATGCACATTACTTATATAAGGTAGTAGTGAATTACACAACTTTAAACTAATGAAATGATCAATGATCATTGCAAAATCAAAATATTTTTATTAGATAACTTAACTTCTCATTTTCGTAAAAATGATTTTTTGTTATCACTGAAGGCTTGCAAGGGGTATCTGACAAGTCATAGTGATCATAATTTCCCCTAGAAACGGGTAAAATGGTAAAATATTAAAAAAACATATTTCTATGGTTTATACTAAGCAATCACTACAGTAAAAGGAGCATAGGACCTTTTTAAATTAAAAATTAGATACCTTTGACCATCTTTGCTTTACATTAACCGTTAATGTAAAGCAAAGATGGTCAAAGGTTAACGCATACTTTTTGAAGAGAACACTCAAAAGTACTAGGGGAAAAATGATCAGGGGAAATATGAACAATTCATTGTCAAATTAGTGTATTAATATTACCCCTTTAAACTTCGTTTGTGATTTAAAATACGTGTAGCTGTGTATAATTTTCGGAAAATTATTTTTGTTTTTATACATTATACTTTTAATTTATTTATACGTTTTATACATTCGTGATTGTGAGAATATCACCATACTGTGTGTAATTTTCAGAAAAGAACAAGATTTTTTGTATAATGTATTATACTTTTATTTTGTTATGCGTTTTATACATTCGTCAAAATTTCACTAAAATAATTAAATGTTATTGTTAATATATAAAAATATTTCTCCAAGTCTTCCATGGATGTTGTTACGTACTTAACTATAATCAAATTATAATATGTAATAATAATAGATTAGTGATAGGTACTTAAATATTAAATGCGGACCGTATCGAGTCGCCTAAAAACGTGTAGGTAGCAATGATATGTTATTGTAAATATTAAAAGTCATTTTATCAAACTTTCTTCTTTAACTCATCTTCCTGTGTAGAAACTTTAAATATTTTACGTCGCTATAGTATTTTTTTTATGTCGGTGTACTCGTGTACTTATAAAAATATTGTTTTAATTGAAAAAATAATATATATCTAAGTGCGTTGCTTGTTTTTATTCTAAAATTTTAATAAACCTATTAAACATCACAAATGTCACAATTAATTCATAAATAATTAAGCATCTACCTACTGACTGACTGTTTCTTATTTTTTTTTATATGCGTAATTATTTATTGTCATAAATAAATATCTTTTAAATATCCGGTTACATGATGTTAAACGTCTGAATTGGTGTGTATATTTCGAAAACAAAGTAAAAATTGTAAGTAAACTTTTAATTCTAGGCAAAATAAATACGAAACTGACTTACAACGCCATCTAGCGCTGAGTAGAAAAAACAATAAAATAATTAGTTTTTCACATTGAATTATTTTTGTGCTTTGCTGTGTTGTTGTCAATGTTGTATTAAATAAATGTATTTAGAAATTATTGTCGTTTAAATTGTGTGTGTACCAACAAGTTTTACAAGAAATTCCCAACTACAAACTTATCAAAGTGTTCGAAAAGGCTAAGACAAAATGTAGAGGACATTAATATTTATTTAAATACTCACATAGAATCTTCGTTTCATTAATCAAAATAGTTAAAATTTTGACACATTTTAACGATCACGTTTTTTCTACTACGAGTACACAGGTGTCCCAGAAAGCGTAAATCAAACTGCTATGTGCTGCTATGGGTGGTAGCTCTGACCTACCCCCAATGTAATAAAATAAAATAAAATAAATAAAAAATGTATTTATTGCCTTCGAACCATTAGACATAGGTAGGTACAGGTAGTTAGACTTACAACTAATAAGTACACTGAAGGCAATTGGACCTGGCTCAGTATACGTTGTAAGGACAGATCCTTGCAACACTGGTTTTCAGCCATGCCTTCTCTAGGATGTTGAGCGAGAATAAAGTTATGAGGGCTTAAGAAATAATTATAAACTTTGAAACAATTATAAACTTTAAAGGAAAAAAAAATGTTTGCAATCTAAATTACCTATTTATACATAAGCATACCTATAAAAAAACGAAAATGTACGCCTTCTGTGCCATTACCCAATACACTATAACCGTGTGTGTGTGTGTGTTTGTGTGTGTGGGTGTCTGTGTGTTTGTGTGTGTGTGTGTGTGTGTGTGTGTCTGCTCAGTCCCAAGTCCGAAGCCTCAGTAAGGTCGTCAGTAACATGGAGTAACGCGGTTTCAGTACCGTGTCCCCGTCGGAAACCAGACTGGAATTTAGGGATTATATCATTTTTATCTAAGTAATCCATTATTTGGGTTAGCACCACCCGCTCTAGTATCTTAGATAGTATTGGAAGGATTGAGATGGGTCGTAGATCTTTAAGCTCATTGACCGTGCTCTTTTTAGGTATAGGTCTTATTAGTGCCTTTGTCCATTGTGTGGGGAAAGTGTGTGTCTCGATTGATTTGTTTATAATTGTTGTAATAATAGGGAGTGTTTTATCTAGAGTAAGCTTAATCATTTTACAGTTTATCCCGTCCAGCCCTGTAGAGTTAGTGCTAATGTTATTAATTATCTTAAAGACTTCTGTTTCCGAGGTGCGTTTCAAATCAAAACTATTTAACAATTTGGGTTTTTTAATGCTATTTAAGACGCTTTCTACATCCACATCCCCACACGATGGCAAAGCAAGAAAGTGATCACTAATACTATTAGGATCATTTAAATGGATCGGAAGAGGACATGCCTGAGTACTATTAGTAATTATGGTATTTTTTAAGTTTTTCCACAAAAGTTTAGGTTTCTTTATATTTCTATTAATATGAAAGTTAAAATAAGCCTTTTTCTCGTTTTTAATAGCTGTTGTTACGACATTTTTAAGAGAGCGGTAATATTTTTTAGCTGAATCTGTTTTGACTTTGAGAGATTTTGCCAAGGCTTTATCTCTTAATGACATAATAAATTTAATTGTTTCCGTTATCCACGGTTTAGGTTTGTCTTTTAGGATAATTTTTTTCTTTGGGGCGTGTGTATCAAATAGTCCTAAGACATACTTATTAAACGTGGCAACCATTTCATCAACACTCTCTATCTCTGAAATGGATTGCCAAAAATGGAATGTATTACTTTCCTAATTCCTCTATGCCTACCCCCAAAAAATTATAACGCACATTATTTTGGTTGTACCGTGTCCATGAAGGAAGAGCAATACACTCGAAAAAAACCGGTTTTAGTGTACAATCGAATCGAATACTTTGTGATCGTGCGTGCATCTCTAGCTTGTGTTTTTTTTATTGCTTTTATTTTTTAATCTGTTGTCTTCATCCGTCCGTCATCGAGTATGTTTGGGTTTCTTGTCGATTTATTTTGTGTAAAATGAAAATGGTTTAATTTCTTATTCAACATGGAAAATGTAAAAAATACGTACTGTCGCTTTTGCGCAGAGCTTAAGAGCACGGACAAAGTGTTAAACTTGCAGCTTGACGACAGAAAATGTGATGAAATACACTTGAAGCTTGCCTTTCTGAATGCGTTGTATGTAAACGTGAACAGTGACAATATTCTGCCGAAAACTGTTTGTTTCGTTTGTTACGACTCTTTGAACAAGGCTTACGAGTTCCTGGACAAGGTGAGACGGTCTCAAGATGTGTTATCGAGCCTGTTTTCTGGAAATGAAGGCTTTAAATATGGGACATCGGACGACGATAAAGCAACTGGTTTCGACGATTTCCTGGCCAACGACGACTCCGATCATGAATATAAGATAGGTTGCGGTATTAGCGGAGGTGTGAATGTTAAAATAGAGCCTTTCGAGTTCTCTGAGAGTAATATGGGTGAGGATATGAAGCAGCCAGGAAGTCCTAGCCAAGAAAACTTTAATACAGACTCGCTAAATGTGCAGGATATTATTGACGCTGCGATGTCTACTTCTAATATTACTTTGTATGAGAAAGATGTGTCGGAGGTGAGCAAGAAAGTGGTCAAAACATGGAAGGACTACCCGTGGCTCTGTGCCTATTGTAACATTGAGTTCCTGGACATGGACACCTTACGTTCCCACGCCAAGGTCGTCCATGGCAAATGCTCAGCGTTCATGTGTGTGGACTGCAAGGTTGTTAAAAAAGATAACTTCACCTCCTTCATAAAACATGTACGGAAACACAGAAAGAGTCTAAGGTATTTTACCAATTAATTATTTAAATTAAGTAGATAAACAGCGAAAAGGTGAATGTTTTAGCCAACTGTGTAAGCACTTGTATGTAAATCAGGCTATAAACTTAATTTAATTATAAAGACATGTTAATAGACATTATATCTAGTTTACTTGGAAAATATTTTGATTAAAGCAAAACTCACAGCACCCATATTCTTCAAGAGTATGGTGGAATATTAAAAAAATATACTTAAATTATTATGCTGTTTCCATCTTATTAAAACTAATGAAAATCCTCTGCATTTTTCAGAGACTATTGCCATTACTGTGATGAAATAATTAATCCAGGAGAAACCAAAAACAAACATATGAAAAAACATTTTGTGAAACCTCAAGTGGCATGTCCTGGTTGTGGTGAGATTCAAAAAGATGAGGAAGAGCTAAAATTCCACCGTCAGGAATTCAGCCAAACCAAGCACAAGAGAAGACCGAGAAGGAAAAAAGGCACACCGATCACTCTAGAAGAAGTCACCTGCCATTTATGCAAGAAAATATATAAGACACCGAATAGCTTAAGAGATCATATGAAATTACACACAGTGGACCGAAAAAGAAACTACACGTGTGACCGATGCGGAAAGATGTTCTACAACAAAGGGACTCTTACGTCACACATCATGTCTCACGATAAAGTTCGTCCTCATGTCTGCAAAATATGCAACAAATCCTTCCTATTCCCAAACATGTTACGGAGGCATGTTGAAATGCATTCGGGCGTGAAACCATTTCCATGCGAAATGTGTGGCAGATGTTTCCGTTTGCAGTATCAATTGAATGCTCACAAAATAATCCATACCGACGCCATGCCTCATGTATGTACGTATTGTAATAAAGCATTCCGTTTTAAACAAATTTTAAAGAATCATGAGCGACTGCATACTGGTGCTAAGCCTTACTCGTGCTCTCAATGCCATATGGAGTTTACGAACTGGTCAAATTACAACAAGCACATGAAAAGAAGACATGGAATGGATACGTCAAAGAAGAAAATTACTCCTGAAGGAGTATTTCCAATAAATCCGGAGACAGGTCAAATCATGCAAGTTCAAGACCCAATAGGGACAGAAGAATGGAAGTCAAAGATCATGATCCCAGCTAAAAGGGGGAAGAAAAAGAAAAATATTAAAGTTGATAGTCACACTAATTAAGAAAGGCCTTACAAAATATTAGATTATAAGCCACACCCATATTATATTGTAAATACAAAAATAGTTTTAGGTATAAGTCTAGAATATTTTTATAGAGAAGGACAACTTCCCTGCCCTGTGACTGGGTCAAATGTGACTCACATTTATTTAATGTTACTATTGTATTTACTTGTAACTGTTATTAGAGATTATTTTTATTTTCGCTTTGGTCTTAAATTAATTTGTAAATAGCTTCTATTTACTAGTTTCGAAAATCCAGCATATCAGGACGATCATGTCATGATCAAAGCTTTATGATTGAATACACTTCAAGGTTTTTTGTAGAAAATGTGATTCCCGATGCAATAACGCTTAAAATAATATAGGAAATAAAATATGTGCCAGGATTTATTTTTATGAAATTAATGAATTGCAATATTGGTTTATTGATAAACTTGTTTATGTTAAGCACGTTTTTTTTAAATAATATACCTATCACAAGCATTTCTCTTTCATTTGGCCCAAAAGTACAANTTTAGGTTTGTCTTTTAGAATAATTTTTTTCTTTGGGGCGTGTGTATCAAAAAGTCCTAAGACATACTTATTAAACGTGGCAACCATTTCATCAACACTCTCTATCTCTGAAATGGATTGCCAAGGAATAGAATCTAAATGGGTTTCAAAAAAATCAGAATCTATATTATTTAAGGCGCGAAAAATTCCCGATCTCTTCGGGGCCTTCTGTTTTTTTAGATTAAAGTCTATCATTACGGTTGCGTGATCGCTCAGACATGGATTGTGAATTACTTTTAAATTTTTACAGCGGGATGAGTCATCAGTGAGAACAATATCGATAGTTGATTCAGTATTATCTGTTACTCTAGTCGGCTCATTTACCATCTGCACCAGGTTGTGCTGAGAGCAGAAGGCAAACAGATCCTTAACCGGTGTTGAGTCAACTCTACTGACGTTTATATTAAAATCACCAAGTACACAGGTATAGTCAAAAGGAGACATAACATTGACCGATTCGCTAAGCGAATCCAAAGCTTCTCGGACACCAACTTTTTCAGGTCTATAGGCTGTGCCAAGCGCCAGGGTTCCTCCGGGCATACGGACTTCCAGCCATAATTGTTCCAGCGACGAAGGGGGGTGTCGCAGAGTTTTAGTAATAATACCCTTTTTTACGTAAAAACCTACCCCTCCACCTCTCCTACCCTTGCGAGCTCTATGAATAAAAGTAAATTGAGGAATACATGGAGCCAGCGCTTCCTCGCCTTCTCGGATCCAAGTCTCATTAACAGCTAAAATGTCAATACTANAGGCTCATTTACCATCTGCACCAGGTTGTGCTGAGTTGTATTGTAAAGTTTTTCTATAGAGCTTATTAAAAAAAATTGGATACTGATAACAAAATCGCCCTGTATTTTTGTAACATTCCATAATTTTAAACTTCACTGGCCCTAAAATGGCAACTGTTTTGTAAAAAAATATATTTTGTTTGTATTGTATTTTGTCAGTGATCGCCATCGCCAACGCGATCTGCACGCGGTGGTTTGGCTGAAGCTTAAAAAACAGGAAATATAATCCTACTCTTTCCTTTGACCTCAACCGCGGGTTCAAGTTCAGGAGGTCAGTAACCTACTTAACCTGTTAGCGGTGGAGATCGCTGATTTTAAATCATTGCAATTAAATAAACATAAGGATGTTTAAGTTTATGAATGCCATTCGAAAGGTTAAGAGGACTGCCCTAGAATTTGAAGAAATGTTACTGAGGTTTTATTAATAATCCTACTAATCATATCCTACTAACATTATAAATGCGGAAGTTTGGATGTCTGGATGTTTGTTACTCTTTCACGCAAAAACTACTGAACAGATTTTGATGAAACTTTACAGTATTATGGTTTATAACCCAGAATAACATATAGGCTATAATTTATGACGATCTTTTACGCGGGTGAAACGCGGGCAGAAGCTATTTCAATATAAAAGGAATGGAATTACTTTATGTTTAAAGTAATTTACTTTAAATTTACAAGTAAAAACAATTTATACAACGACCAATGAAATGGGTCATCCATCTTTTAAAGCTGAGTTGCATTGCACTACTTTGGCCGTAACTTGAACGTTAACATAATTTTACCGTGTGTTACAGTCAAGGTAAGGTGGTGCAACTCAACCTAAGACTTCGTAGACTTCAAAACCAAACAATAACCTCCTCTTTGAAGTCGGTTAAGTCACTGATATCTTATTATGACGTGTCAAACTAGTCTAGCCTAGGTTTTTCTCAACAAAATAGCCAGCCATATCCAGGTGTGCCAGTCATCAGATCGTCTCGCTCCGTTTGCCGCCAAATTCCAACCGAGATCACCATGCGGATGCATCGCGTGACCCACATCCATCGAGGAGCAGGTTCGGCGTGACCCGCTTGGGGGGCAGGTTGCGCCGCAATGCATGCGTAACGGTGAAGGAATGTAGCCCGCTAGTTGCCAGCATATTTATGAGGCAAACCGTGTGCGGGTTACTGCTAATCCGCTGCCCTCAAATCTTTGGGTTGTCGAGGAAATTTACAATTGGCTTAGACTTCCTAGCATATAAATACGCAATAAGCAGAATTTATAAACTTTCATGATTGTCATTAACACTGGAATTTTACTCGTACCTATTCATGGCTGTGGCGAATGCAACTATGATACCAGAATCAGATACATCTAATTTAAGAATATGTTTCTCAAAAGAAATTGAACATTTCACTTAACCACCATAATCATGGTGAAATAGATTTATTTAATCTCTCAAAGCGCTCATTAAAACAACAAATAGTTCAGATATAATAATATGCATTTGGATGAAGCCTAATCATTACCATTGTATGAGTTGGATATGACTTATTATGACACTATTGAACAGATATTTTTTTTTATTCTGAAATCCAAACATCACACCTTCGTCGTTATCGTATAAATTATTCCCCGTTATCTAGAAGCTATCTAAGCCAAGCGCCAGCTAAAGCCTGGTCCGTGAGCACGTAGAATTTTGTCCAATGACTCCAAGCTACCCATCCTTATCGCTCGCGCGTAATTATATTGCTGTCGCGACTGTGCGACGGGCGCCCGCAGTGAGTGTGCGAGCGCGACAGCAACATAATTACGCGCGAGCGATAAGGATGGGTAGCTTGAGGTCATTGGCCAAAATTCTACGTGCTCACGGATTATTTGGATTATTGTTTATTTTTGAAACTTAAAATAACAAACTACTACATTTATTAACTGTTGTTCCTACACACTTAAATTAGCTTTGAGACTCTGTAATTAGCTAGAGTTTTATAATGTACTACTCTGTAATATGTATTTTCGACAAACCTGTTGAGTTTCCACATAAATAAATAAAATGAGAAACAAGGTATTTCACTTATAAAATAAACGTAGGTAGATCTCAAGCCAAGGGCGTACTTATCAAATTGTTCACTAAAAACAAAACACTCGTCTGTACACGTGGAAAAACAAGACATATTATCCTTGTTATTGTTATATGTATTGAATAAACCACGGATACTCTCGGCGCACTTAAGGGACTCTTATCTAGCTATAAATAAGACGTCAATATGTAGGTGACAATTTAATGCATTTTAGGGTAAAAATCTGGCCACCGCGGTACAGTTTTTCGCATCTCAAAGTGCAGTGACATCTATCGGCAACTAATTGTAACAACTTTCATGGAAGGTTTATCCATGTATCACTTTTTGACTCAAGTGTAGAAGGCGATCACTTGCCATCAGACATGCGAAATTTTCAGGATGTAGAACTTTAATATCTTTTTGAAGGGTTAGTAGTAGTTTCACACGATTTTCCTTCGCACGAATGTGCGAAACGTCCCCTTTCAATAATTTTTTTTTCGTAGGCGTTTCGCCCGGATGTATCAAAAGTAATAAAAACGGGTGCGAATCGACCCCTTTGAGAACTAGTAATCGCATACTACTAATAGTACTTATTATTACAACATTACCCGCTACATTACTTATTTATACCGATTTAACATTAATATTACTATTCATACTGATGTAATCTACTGAGATTATGCTTCACCATCAAAGTTGTGCGATAGTTTAGCAAAGAAGAAACTAATAAGGCTGGGTTGACCGTAGCTTGACGATAATCGGTGCTTTTTGTATGGATTTTGACAGCTTTTTGACGATTGTCAAAGTTAAAGTACGATGGTGCAACCCAGCCTAAGTATAATTTAGTAAATAAGGCCCAGAACAGACGGTGAAACGCAACTGCAACGAAACTGCAACTGCTAGTTACTTTTGAGTTACATCTAAGTTTCTGCCATAGCGTCCGTTGAGAGACCACACATGACGCGACCAGTTTGAAACTTTCAGTTTCAGTTTCATTCATCAGAATCATCAGAAAGTTGCAGTTGCGTTTCACCGTCTGTTCTGGGTCTAACTGAAACAATGTCAACCCTAGTAGCACCTAAACAACAAACGCATTCTAACTCCGTCCATCAGTTTTTATCTTTAGGAAGATAGGTAAGCTTTTAAAGCTTTTAGCGATAATCTGAAAGAATGTTTGTTTATCCCTCGTCAATAGATAAGGGGTGCGTAATGAGCCCTTGACTTGTAAACAATATTGCAGGCCCTCGGTAAATAATGGACTTGTTTTTCGGATCCGATTACAGAAAGGGTTATCTACCTAACTTAGTTTGCTACTAATATTGTCTACAAATAACATGCATTCTTATTCTTCTTAAAATATTTACCATAATATGGTAAATATTGGTAAAAAATAATGAAATAGACCCTGATTATCAGGAACAGTTCCACTATTTTTTTTAATGATTTGTGAGCGAGAAATAAAAGCCTTTTGAAACAATTTGGTTGGATAAATACGTAATAATGTTCCGTACGTAATTTTTTTTTATCTATGTATAACATCCCTTTGTTATTCAATTAATTTTAATTAAATTATTTCATTTTAATAACCGTTATCAATATCGAGCAAAAAAAGGCAAAAACATCCCATTTTTAGTATTTGTTGTTGTAGCGGCAATAGAAATACAATGTCATCATCTTTTAAAATTTCAGTTGTCTAACGGTCGGATCCCTGAAAACGATGTTTGATATTTTCCAAAAGTTAGGCTGTTAAAATAATTATCTTATGAGTTTCTGGTTTCTATAAATTGCATTGGCTTGTAGCTACTCTTTTAGATATAAAACATCCAGGGAATCTCACTATGGGTGTGCTATTTGTAAGTTTGAACACAAAGTGGCGAGACTTTCTCAGCCCATACGCTGACCCCAGGCCCGTGACCTTATTACTTTCACTGCGAATTTCGTGCTGGGTTTGCGCGTTCGCAACGCACCACCTTTTTCGTATACTAACGACCATGTTCACAAACATGACTGTGAGGTCTCACAGTGCGCGTGGACGCACAGGGTCACACACGAACCAATCACATGTTTGTTCATTCATTTTTACTTATTACACAATAAAAACGAA